TCCCGCAGCGATGCTACGGCGCCGGCTCTGCCCAGCGCCAGGGGCTGCTTTTCCGGCAGGTGTGCCGCGCTGCCCCTCCCGGCAGGTGGGCACCGGGCACTGGCACGGCGCAGCGCCTGGCCGGAGCGAAGCGAAGCGAAGCCTTCCCCGGACGGAGTTCGCGTTTGCTGCGGCTGCTTTCGCAACTGGCTTCGTCCTCTGGCCGGGGGATGGGTGTTGTAGTCCGAGGCCGCCGGAGGGCACCGGCGAGGGGGAGACTGGGGGGGCAGTTTGGAAGCCGTGCCTGGCTTGGGCCGGGCTCTTGGTGGGCAGCGCGGCTCAACAGTAGCATCCACGTGGGAGGAAATTGAAGGGGCCCGTTTCCTTGGCTGCCCTGCAGTGGGTGGGAACCTTCGTGCGTGCTGGTTATCTCTCTCTCTCTTTTTAAGCTGTTGCAGTATCAGAATGAACAGCCCCCCTCTCCCAAAGTGTGTACTTTTGAAACTGCTCTCTCTTTCCAGTACAGATGTGGGGGTGCTCCAGTCGCATTGGGGAAAGTTGCTAAATGCTGCTGCCTTGATAGCTAGCTCTGGGTAGCAGTTTGATCCTAGCCGTGTAATCCAAAATTCAGAGCCCCTGAGCCCGGCCTGGCTTTCCCCGCTGAATCCCCACTTCCTTGCAGAGGCATAAACACAATTGTTTGGTGGTTGTTTTGATGCAAACTTTTTGGCTTTCTCAAATCTTCCCTTCCTGACCTCTGAACCATGCTTGGAATTAACATCCCTGCCCAAATATGTGGAGCTGATGATCTGGTGTCGCTCATTGATATCTTGGTCACCTGGAGGGGGGGGGGGGATATGATCATTATCATGCTTCCTAATATCAATACCAAATGATATTTTATTTATTTATTTATATATCAAATTTGTCACCACCCACCTCATTAAAAGATGACGCTGGGCGGTTTACAAAGCAGTTAAAATCAATTAAAGTTGCAATATAAAATAATCCTAATAAATAGAAAATAAATATAATGCAAGAGTAGATGTTAAATTGGCAATAACCCGGGGAGCGTCATCAAGGCGCCAGCCAACCCCAGGATTGGGTAAGATTCCTGTCACCCCCCGCAAGCTGGTCTTTAATATTACAAGAGTACCATTACAATTGACCTTATAACTGTAACGTCATATTATCGTTGCATTTGTGCTGTTTGCAGATGTGGAGGTAGGGAGCAGATGTGCTTGTTTTCCGTGGGGGTAAAAAGATTAGTTACAGGCAAAGTAACTTAAAGCTGGGTCAAAGTTTCATAGAAAAAGCAGATTTTGAAAAATGACTCAATGGATGTTAGAGGGGTAGATGTCCTGGGTGGCAGTTCCGAGGAGACTGAGTGGTGGGGAGAAAGGGATCTCTGGGGAGGGGGGAGAACTTCAGAGGATCTTAACATGGGGAAGGGGAAAGATCATGTCCCTAAACTGAATAATTTGGGGGAAGCTGTAGGCCAGCCCTAAATAGAACCTAGGGCAATAATCTAGACCGGTCATAGATTATTGAAGCCTGTTGTGCCACCAGGACAGATTTAAATCTAGGAGTCTACATAGCTACTCTTTCATGGGGAGTATAATCTGGAACAGTGTTTCTCAACCTTGGCCACTTTAAGACGTGTGGACTTCAACTCCCAGAATTCCCCA